CCAATTAGCAATAACTCGGTAAAATACTAACTGACCAATACCGAGAGAATCTTTTCAGTCTTGCCAAAACAAGACTTAATTGCTATTCTGTCTTTCTGTCAGAGAAAATTCTACGCAATATTTGCTTCTCCGAACAGATAATTTACAGAAAGAATTAAAGCAGTCGTTGGGCGCCGCTCTTTCTATTACTTGAGTACGGCTAAAAATTTCTAGATGACCGTTCCATTCATGTACAATTTTCGATGCTTATCTAATAAATTCACTACGATTTTTTGAAGTTCAATTTTTCACGTTTCACTCCTCAGGTCTGGCTTTTTATCACAGGAAAAAAAGGAAACCTAAAATTTTCGGATTCGAGAATGTGATACAGAGAGGAATCAGAAATTAAAAATTCTCACTTTCGTAATAAGTCAATTTGCATCTATAATTTTCGGGAAAATTAAATACTGAAGCCTTGAAGTTCGAAAAGACACAAGTTCTCCTAGGACGACCGAAAATTTACAAAATTTAAATCGCTTTATAGCCAGTAGAATGCATTTATAGAGATCTAAAAGTACCTGACTCTGGATTGCCTAAAATGATTTTTAAATGTATTCAGGCGTAAACCGTCGTTGGGTGCCCCTGTTGTAACTTCAGAAATGAAGACTCAAGTTCCCCTGTAAAGATTCTTAAAAAATTAAGAGGCACAAGTAATAGTCATCAAGATGGGTTGCATAATAATTCGTAATGCTAACACACCATGCACTCGATTAGCTTAAATGCTTGATTCCTCTGACGGTTCGTTTTATAAAAAGCGTTTGAAAGTGTGTCTTACATCTCAGCCTGTTTCGCTGCCGTAGCTAGGTTGAATGTTTAGGTTGTCCCTGTTATATCCCCTCTAAAGTATGATTGAGTTGATCAATAGAACATCAAAAGGCCATATTCCGAATGGGGTGGCCACCCCCAGGGCCTACTTTTGCCCGGGTTGCTGCCGATTTCTGATAAATAATATACTCTATGATAAACAAACCCGATTCTTAATAAATAACCCCTTTAAATTTCAGTTCTTGGGCCAGATTAATCTGTTTGTATCAGATCACACCTGCATTATTAGCGAGAGAGAATGAAAAACTAAAATGAGCTCATTCTCTCTTGATTATAACCCATATATGGCACTGAGTCAAGTCTTTTCCTTGAGAAACGTCACTACCCACTTACCCAATGTCAAGAAGGCCACAGACCTCATCGCAAGAGAGAATTCAAAATTAAAATGAGCTCATTCTCTCTTGATTGTATTATATTATTATTATGACAAGAAGGGCACATACCTCAGAAAAGTTTCAGCCTCTTCTGTTGAAACATCCGACCGCTACGAAGTTAAGACGAAAAAAACGCATAACAGTTGGTGAGCTTCCCCGGTAATTTTTTGAGGTAAACATCTTTTTTTATTTCCCTTGAAAAGTTCTCCAGTTAGCTAGACATTGACGATTTCAAATTCAGACCTTGCTACGCAAAGAAATTATAGTCCGAATCTTCATAAACAATGCCCTTGTCACAATCCGTGTTTTATTTGTTAGTAAAATGAAAGTGGATTTAGAGTAAACTATTAAAACTATTGCAGGATAGAAATTAAGCCGGCTCTTAATTTGTCAGTTAAGCCTTCCAACGTGAAATCATCATTTTGTCTTCATCGAATAAAACGAATAGGTTCCATGTCTACAAGTAAGATAAAGAAGAAAAGAAGAAGCAGAGACGAAACGTAGCGCTTTTAACTCGAAAATGTCTAAGCTGCAGGCATAAATCCACACCTATCCGCCTTCACTTGCAAAAAGCAAAATAATGGTGAAAACATTTTCGCTATATCACACAGGCCCTGTAACATGTAACAGTTATTTTAGGCACTTCGAGACTGACAGTGAAAAAAAATCGCTATAACATGCCACAGTATCCTTTTCCCAGAAAGAAAAAAAAACGGTTCCAAAAGGCCAATATTATTTTGTTTATTCTATCAAGACTTTCCGGCTTTAGTTTTTTCCCGACAATTCCAGATTATTTCGAACGTTTTCTGAAGGCTACCGAAAATGTCCGGAGTCTGCAAGTTGAGGAGAAATCCAAAAATTTTCCCCTTTATTTTCGTTGTGAAGAATATATTTTTGACGGTGCATGAATGCGTAGATAAGATTTTTGTCAGTTTTTCAGAAAATATCCTCCATGCGCTTAACAGTATTTCCTTCGGAAACAGTCAACATTAAAAAAATTGGCCAAATTAACAGTTAAGAACTATTCAACTTATGGTAAATAACCGGCTAAACCTCATTCAGACCCTCCTTGTATTGTTCGCCTCTGGTAGTTCGTCTTGCCTGTACTCTTTTAATTCCGTCTTTACACTTGACGCATAACACGAGTCAGTGACTGGACGGATCGATAGTACGTCCTCTAGTATAAAAACGGCCAATTTCATCGATAATTTTCGATAAAGTGGATGTTAAGTTAAATTTGGCCATTGCAAGCAACAGAAAACTATCGTGGCTTAATGAATCGATTTTCTGAAGAGCAAACATTTGTCAAACTTCAAAGCAAATTAAACTAGAAAGATTTGATTCGAACACTTTTGTACATCGGCACATTCTCCCGAAAACTGTTGCGGAACAGGTTGTTATAAATACGTAACACTCGTTTTTTTGTTGGTAGATAAAGATACAGCGATAAAGATGAGGAAGACGAAATCGTCGATGCTCTGTCGCTCTATTTTCTTGATGTTATCCATGATGTCTTGGGCGTGTTTGGTGTCGCTTGAGACGGTAGCCAAGGATGAAAAGTTTTCTGCCAGCAGAAAGGACATAAAAGGTAAGAAAATAGGTCTTGTTTTTTCCAAGCCAGCCTATCGCAGGTAACATCACATTTAGTTTAGGAAGACATGTCTTTGGAAAGACCCATTACAGTCCACTAGTTTTTTGTAAGGTCGTCATGATTGAGCGCTTACCAATCAATCAATTCCGTGCTTAGCTCTGTAGTTACTGATGCTTCCCTCCGCAACCCTCAGCCGTCTGCGCTCTCTCCTCTCATCCCACTGCGCATGCTCCTCTTTCCTCTCCTCACACGCCTGAGTGCCTGCCTTGAATGCAAGCCTCCAGAGCTGTCCGTTTACGACAGCGTTTGTTAGGAGACATTCAGACTATATTGAAAACGTTCGTCCCAGGTTCTTTGATGCAATAACTGGTTTCTTTCAAATTTTTGAACTTCCATGTCGAGCCAATTACCATTTCCCACCGCCAGGTGGTTCAAATCAAAGGAAGACTATCGTCAACTCGTGGGTTCGTTGTTTAGAAAATAGTCAAACAGTCAATTATCAAGTCTGGCTTTTATAATGTAACGTACTGGATTTACCGTTTGCCTCACATATACTGATATATCGCTAACTATGTATAGAAATCAATGATAAATAAACGTTGAATTACCTTACCTGTGGCATGTAGTCGTCCTTTTGCCTCAAAAGCGGTTTTTTGAGCGATTTTTGAAGGAGTTTGAGTTCGCCGTTGACTGTGCCTTATAAAAGAAGGACACTTGTCCTAGGTAATTCAACGTTTATTTATCATTGTTTTATATATACATAGTTACCGACATATTGCTATAGCAACCTCGTCCCCAGGGCTTTTCCTTCAAAAAATGGGTGGGGCGGGAAAAGGCCCTGGCATCGGCTGGTCACGTGTACAAGCTAAATATTCCTGAGAAGCTAATTTATATGCAACCCGCTGGTTTTGCGCTGACAGAAGGGGGTAACAATGGAAAATAATAACATCGCGAACTATGTCAATATATTTGCGTGTGTGTGATTCAAAAGCTTAAGATCAATTTTAATAATTGCGCATTATTCAAATGCTAGAAGTTTATGAAAGGGTGTACCGGCTCTACGTTGTCACGTACCAAATATATAAAATGCTTTAGCGTTCACGATAAGCTGTTATCGACTAGTACTTCAACTAAACTTCATCGTGACTGTGGAATTACTCTACGATCAAGCGGAAAGTGATTTTGTCCAATGTCAAGCAAAAATGTAGGCCTTTGCCTCCAGGATCTGCGGTGAATTCAAATAAATTGGACTTAATTGAAATAGAATTGTTCATCAAAATGCTTTATGGAGTCTGATCGTCTCTACAACCCGACCATGAAACAAACAAATCTCCGCGCCGAATGCAAGTCAGCCTCCAACCAAGAACGATGACAGGCCGCCGATCTGAAACAGTTTGAAGACCTCTTATGTCTTTTCTCTTCCGAGGATAAGTACAAAGGATTTTCCTTATATTAAAGAGAAGATTGACTGATCGATTGGAATCAACTACAGCTCTGTCGATTTTAAATGGACCCAGATCTTTCTTTGTTGCCAGTCGTTTGATCGCAAAGGTCAATGAATTTCTTCAAAAATACTGGTCATACAGGATAAGTCTAAACCAACGCGTGTCGCTATGATATGGCTGAGAGTTAGGGTGAATAGAACTAGGCTGTGTACGGCGGCCCACTTCGCAAGAAATGAAATAAAATATCAGAAGAGTCGAGAAAGCGGAATTTTCTAGTACAACCTTTATGCATGTTCGATAGCTTGTTTATTTGTCATTTATACCGCTCTATAAACAGAAGTTTTACAAATGTTACTCGCTGTCCCCTTCATAGAAATCGAAGGAATGGTAAAAATTACCATAAACAGTATCTGTGACAAAGAGGAAACCTTGTAAAACTTTTCGTTAATCGTCAAGAGATATAAAAGGTCGACCAAGATCGCGCTCTGTGAGGTTACGCATAATTTTAGCTTTTCACATGGCTCTAATTTATTACACCCAGGATTTTATGGTGTACGAGGAGACACGTGACCAGCCGATGCCAGGGCCTTTTCCCGCCCCACCCATTTTTTGAGGGAAAAGCCCTGGGGACGAGGTTGATCGCTATAGGTGAGTCAAACGATAAATCCAGTACATTTACTATAAGGTTCTTCAACAAAAATGACTGAATCAGCTACATAAACAGATTGTGTGAGTCCCCTGTGACTACACCAGGAAGGTTACCTGCAAAAAAAAATTCTGTTGAGTTGATTGTTTAGGGCGCTTTGAAGCTATAGATGGTTTTCATAGTGACGTCATCAAATTGTAAAGTCAAAATAGCGAGGTTTTACGAATTCTTATGTACACTAGGTTGAAGATAAACACAAAGTAAATCTTTGTACAAGTTTCCATTCCTGTAGCATGTTTCATTTCGAAGATACAGCAATTTGAACTTCCGAGTTTTCACAGTGCGTGACACAAAAACGGTGTACCAATATGGCGTCTCCATACAAAGCTCTACAAAGGTGCGTGAAACGTTTCGGCAAATAACTCAGAAACTTTGGGCCACAAAGACCTGAGACTTAGACAAATTGTTTAAAAATTAGTCTTTTAAAACATTTCATTTTCCTGGCTTCTTCCACTGGACGGTTTCCAATTTTTATTTTTTGTTGCGTGACAGTGAAAACGATCTATTTGTCTCCTCGTGACAAGATTTCATCGATTATGTTCGTGATCCACAATGATCCACAGCTGATAACTGGTTAGTGGGGCTCATGGAACGACAAAGCTGCGAAAATGAAAGAAAATTGTCTCCCCCTGGAAACCTCACTTTAACGTTCGCTACCTTCCAATAATACTTAACTTTACAATTGACATGACAAGCAAATGAGTAACTTACCGGCTGCGGTATAGGAACTATGAAACTGCTGAAACTGTCCCTCTTTTGACTCTTGACTACCAACCTCGTTTAAAACATTCACGAATGTCTAACCAAGACGTCGCATATTCAAGAATGCTAAGAAACTCTTTAACACGTTTATCGCCATTTCCTTTTAAAGCGTGTTCAGAAAGAATCATAGCTTTTCACTATCTAGCGCTCACAGCATTCCAGAATAAAAACTTTTGGCCGCCATTTTAATTTGCAAGCATGTTGGATAGGGTGCTACGCGGCGGGGACTGGGAACTGGTAAAACAGCGAAACAAACTTAAAAACTACCAAACAAACTACCGAACCAAACTACCCGACAAATCGAGTTCTCCGGAGGCTTTCGAGACAAAAATACCCAGCGAGCAGAGGATACATTTTCGCTGTATGAGCTGGCGTGCGAAAAGTAGCCTCTGCCGACAACCGTTCAATTTTCTATCTTGCATACGCGAAATTCGTCACGCGATTCGCAAGCAAAATTAATCGTCAGGTTTGTCGTCAAATGGCGCGAGTTCCGCGGGAATAAAAAAATTGCGACAACTTTGATCTGCTACGCAAGACTCACGAAAACCCGTTTTTTTAATTTATTCGTCCAGATTTCTGGACGGATTTGAAGGGTTGTCGGCAGAGGCTACTTTTCGCACGCTAGCTCACACAGTGAAAATGTAGCCTCTGCTCGCAGGGTAAGACAAAAATAGGCAGCTGCCCTGTGCGGGCCGGAACTAGAAATACGTGAATCGCAGAGCCTCGTGGATCAGAGGTTTAAGGGTCAGAAGTAGAAATAAATGGAAAGAAGCCAATAGGAAAAGGAAGATATCATATATATTAAAAAACAAACAAAACAAGTAAGCAAACAAAACAAAAGAACAACGTAAAAATAGGAAGGGTACTAAGTAGGATTCGAACTCACCTTCGGCTCGATGTGACTCAGTGTACCACTATAGTACTAAGGATGATTAAGTATGTCGTGTGAAAAGCCTTTTCCACGGAACTTCCTCCGTCATTCAAACACCGTTTAATTCTGATCGAGCCGTATTAACCGGGCTATTGACAGTATATACCAATGTAAACGTATTTGGAAGCTTATATTCAAAATCACCCATGTGTTAGGAATTGGGATTTTACAGGCGCAAAATATTTTCACTTTTTTTTCTTTACAATAAAACAGGTGCGAACTCCTCAGAGTGGTTTAAACCTGCCGAAGACGAGGGTTACAAGAGGACAATAGCACTTCAAGACCGCACGGGAAGAAAAGCCAGAGTCAAGGTCGATCCGAGGACTAGGAGTCATGCTACTCATGGGACTGGTGGTGGGGGCAGGGGTGGGACTGGTGGTGGGGGCAGGGGTGGGACCGGTGGTGGGGGCAGGGGTGGGACTGGTGGTGGAGGCAGGGGTGGGACTGGTGGTGGGGGCAGGGGTGGGACTGGGCATGGGAGTAGAAGTGGGGCTGGCGCCAGTGGGTCTAGTGGACTTGGTTCCCGATGCAGGGCGCTACCAAGCGATCCTGGCTACATATATATCATACAAATGAGTGGCTCTTACAATGGGCACTACCAAGCGCCACCGTTCGCGAAGGTGGGTTTTACAAACAATTGCCAGCAACGATTAGGCAACCTTAAAGCTGGGAACCCTTACCAACTGACATGTTATAAAACTTACCATGTTTGCAACAAGGATGCAGCAGAAACCGCGGCCCACAACTCAATAAGAGGCTCTAGAGTTCAAATGGGAGGGGGAACAGAATGGTTTTATTACACATCATTAAGTTCACTTGCAACAACAGTTAGAAGCGCAATTGCTCCGTTTATTGATCAGCCTGGCAGTGACTTTGTTGAATTGTCCAAAAATCCTTGTCTTACCCCTAATCCAGCAGGCGTAATCATGGCCACTGATTACGGACATTTGAACCCGCGGTTTGCCGGTGTTTACAACCAAAGATGGCGACAAGCAATCCAAGGAAATGTGTTGCATATAAAATACAATTGTAAATAACAAGTGTCTGAAGTTACCTGTGAGAATTTCCAAAATATTTCCCTGACTCAAGAAAACAAAATAAATTCGCTCTGAAAGTTTTGCTGCAAAATTCCAACGATAACTAACTGCTCACGGTCTCAGTTTGGTGATTAAACTGCGTTGCTATATAGGTGCAAGAGAGGAGAAATGTTAAGTCAAGTTCAGGGGCACCCAACGTCAACTTTCGGAAAATATCTGTTCGGAAGACGATTTGAGATCTAGAATTTTCGGAACATTTGTTGTAAAATTTCTTGCTTGCATGCCTCTCCTAGGATTTTCGAAAATCTAAAAAATGGTATAATTGCCCATTTTTAACGGATTTGTACCCTAAACTAGAGGTCACCTAGATTTTTCGGAAGCCTCTCTTCTGGCTGAAATTTTCGAAAAGGTAAGTTTTGATCCCTTTAATTTTAGGATCACTAGACTTTCAGCTAGGAAATCCGAACAGACGAAAAATGTTTAGGGGATAACAATATGCCTATATCTACCGTTTAAATACTAAAATACGTTCAACAATGTTATGTTTAGGTGGTTTTGAACAACATTCTCGTTGGGTGCCCCCGCAAGTTATCACGTTAGCAAAATTTCTGGATCACAACAATAATAAATAATAATAATAAAATATTTATAAAGCGCTTATACTTTTCAGTGCTAAGCGCTTTACAATGCTTGTAAAGGGTCTGAATAAAAAATAAAAATCCTAAAACCATTACATATATATAGTCACAAAAATACAAAATAAAAAAACCTAAGATAGTTCGTAAACTCGCTTAAAAAGAAAGGTCTTCAATTTAGATTTAAACTTATTAAACATCATCGTTCGATCTAATGTCAATAGGCAAATCGTTCCAGAGTATAGGGGCAATGACTGAAAAAGCCCTGAAACCGTATGTCTTTAAGTTATAGGGTTTAATAACAAGTCTGAGAGTTAGGGTGAATAGAACTAGGCTGTGTACGGCGGCCCACTTCGCAAGAAATGAAATAAAATATCAGAAGAGTCGAGAAAGCGGAATTTTCTAGTACAACCTTTATGCATGTTCGATAGCTTGTTTATTTGTCATTTATACCGCTCTATAAACAGAAGTTTTACAAATGTTACTCGCTGTCCCCTTCATAGAAATCGAAGGAATGGTAAAAATTACCATAAACAGTATCTGTGACAAAGAGGAAACCTTGTAAAACTTTTCGTTAATCGTCAAGAGATATAAAAGGTCGACCAAGATCGCGCTCTGTGAGGTTACGCATAATTTTAGCTTTTCACATGGCTCTAATTTATTACACCCAGGATTTTATGGTGTACGAGGAGACACGTGACCAGCCGATGCCAGGGCCTTTTCCCGCCCCACCCATTTTTTGAGGGAAAAGCCCTGGGGACGAGGTTGATCGCTATAGGTGAGTCAAACGATAAATCCAGTACATTTACTATAAGGTTCTTCAACAAAAATGACTGAATCAGCTACATAAACAGATTGTGTGAGTCCCCTGTGACTACACCAGGAAGGTTACCTGCAAAAAAAAATTCTGTTGAGTTGATTGTTTAGGGCGCTTTGAAGCTATAGATGGTTTTCATAGTGACGTCATCAAATTGTAAAGTCAAAATAGCGAGGTTTTACGAATTCTTATGTACACTAGGTTGAAGATAAACACAAAGTAAATCTTTGTACAAGTTTCCATTCCTGTAGCATGTTTCATTTCGAAGATACAGCAATTTGAACTTCCGAGTTTTCACAGTGCGTGACACAAAAACGGTGTACCAATATGGCGTCTCCATACAAAGCTCTACAAAGGTGCGTGAAACGTTTCGGCAAATAACTCAGAAACTTTGGGCCACAAAGACCTGAGACTTAGACAAATTGTTTAAAAATTAGTCTTTTAAAACATTTCATTTTCCTGGCTTCTTCCACTGGACGGTTTCCAATTTTTATTTTTTGTTGCGTGACAGTGAAAACGATCTATTTGTCTCCTCGTGACAAGATTTCATCGATTATGTTCGTGATCCACAATGATCCACAGCTGATAACTGGTTAGTGGGGCTCATGGAACGACAAAGCTGCGAAAATGAAAGAAAATTGTCTCCCCCTGGAAACCTCACTTTAACGTTCGCTACCTTCCAATAATACTTAACTTTACAATTGACATGACAAGCAAATGAGTAACTTACCGGCTGCGGTATAGGAACTATGAAACTGCTGAAACTGTCCCTCTTTTGACTCTTGACTACCAACCTCGTTTAAAACATTCACGAATGTCTAACCAAGACGTCGCATATTCAAGAATGCTAAGAAACTCTTTAACACGTTTATCGCCATTTCCTTTTAAAGCGTGTTCAGAAAGAATCATAGCTTTTCACTATCTAGCGCTCACAGCATTCCAGAATAAAAACTTTTGGCCGCCATTTTAATTTGCAAGCATGTTGGATAGGGTGCTACGCGGCGGGGACTGGGAACTGGTAAAACAGCGAAACAAACTTAAAAACTACCAAACAAACTACCGAACCAAACTACCCGACAAATCGAGTTCTCCGGAGGCTTTCGAGACAAAAATACCCAGCGAGCAGAGGATACATTTTCGCTGTATGAGCTGGCGTGCGAAAAGTAGCCTCTGCCGACAACCGTTCAATTTTCTATCTTGCATACGCGAAATTCGTCACGCGATTCGCAAGCAAAATTAATCGTCAGGTTTGTCGTCAAATGGCGCGAGTTCCGCGGGAATAAAAAAATTGCGACAACTTTGATCTGCTACGCAAGACTCACGAAAACCCGTTTTTTTAATTTATTCGTCCAGATTTCTGGACGGATTTGAAGGGTTGTCGGCAGAGGCTACTTTTCGCACGCTAGCTCACACAGTGAAAATGTAGCCTCTGCTCGCAGGGTAAGACAAAAATAGGCAGCTGCCCTGTGCGGGCCGGAACTAGAAATACGTGAATCGCAGAGCCTCGTGGATCAGAGGTTTAAGGGTCAGAAGTAGAAATAAATGGAAAGAAGCCAATAGGAAAAGGAAGATATCATATATATTAAAAAACAAACAAAACAAGTAAGCAAACAAAACAAAAGAACAACGTAAAAATAGGAAGGGTACTAAGTAGGATTCGAACTCACCTTCGGCTCGATGTGACTCAGTGTACCACTATAGTACTAAGGATGATTAAGTATGTCGTGTGAAAAGCCTTTTCCACGGAACTTCCTCCGTCATTCAAACACCGTTTAATTCTGATCGAGCCGTATTAACCGGGCTATTGACAGTATATACCAATGTAAACGTATTTGGAAGCTTATATTCAAAATCACCCATGTGTTAGGAATTGGGATTTTACAGGCGCAAAATATTTTCACTTTTTTTTCTTTACAATAAAACAGGTGCGAACTCCTCAGAGTGGTTTAAACCTGCCGAAGACGAGGGTTACAAGAGGACAATAGCACTTCAAGACCGCACGGGAAGAAAAGCCAGAGTCAAGGTCGATCCGAGGACTAGGAGTCATGCTACTCATGGGACTGGTGGTGGGGGCAGGGGTGGGACTGGTGGTGGGGGCAGGGGTGGGACTGGGGGTGGGGGCAGGGGTGGGACCGGTGGTGGGGGCAGGGGTGGGACTGGTGGTGGAGGCAGGGGTGGGACTGGTGGTGGGGGCAGGGGTGGGACTGGGCATGGGAGTAGAAGTGGGGCTGGCGCCAGTGGGTCTAGTGGACTTGGT